GCGTTCAACATCACAGGATCCGAAATACTCCTTGTTCTTGCACCAACCAAAAAGTCGCTGAAGGCGGTAAAACTAACATAAAAAGATTTTCACAACCTGGAGGAAAAAGTCCTGCAAGATGCAAAAATGCCGCCGCCCACCAAACCCGATCCTTGGTCCCGTGTCTGTGAAGCGTCACGCTCACCTCCACTCCAAGCCACCACTTACGAGATACCGGCGACCATGGCTTCTGTGCTTTCCCCTGTTGAGCGCTCAAAGGAGACCACCTCCATAACTTCGTTCAGAGAATCGTTTAGCAGATTTTGAATGCGGATTTGGAATCAGCATTAAAAAATACCCCCAGCAGTAATGGTCCCATTTCAAATAGCCACTTCGACTTGGGATCCTTCCCTTGTTAGCTGGCTACTGCGCGAAGCAGTTATAACGTGATGGAGGGTGAGGTAGTGCTGATGGTGATGCTTGAATGTTCATTAACGAGTGATGGTGCCTTGGAACGGCCCGTCAGAGATGACAACTGTGCGGGAAAACAGGAAGCGTATGATTGGTACCAAATACCTTCCTCTTACCTCCATTGCACCCTTCGTGTTCAGTTCAATAACATAATGTAACGAGCAACTTACCAGCCGTAAGCCGGGTCCAGTTTCAAATATGGCTGATTACACGAACACTTTCAGAGCTGGTGAAGTTCAAATTCTCGACTACCAGACTCAACAGTTCCGTCTTATGCCACAATTGGCTCGTGCCTTCGCTTTCATGTTTGCTGCATACGAAATTCGTGATATGTATATGAAGGTAGGTTGCTTTACGATAGTGTTTACCTAATTATTGAAATTCGGGATACTATTGCTAATCTGATGATTCGAAAAACTATGAAAAACTTATTACAGAAATATTATAGAGCCATCGATGCTTTTTAAGAACAGTTTCAACAGTTTTGACTCAATTGCAAACATGTTCAGATTTTGGGGGAATCGGGTGAAATAGCACGTGGAATCACCCGTGACTCTGACGCGCGACGCCGAGCACCAGTGATCCTGATTTTCATACTAAGAAGCCATTGCTCAGGGAAACTTGCTGTCTGCAATCTTTATTCACAATTCCGGCTAAATATACTGCACCCAACAGAATACGCGCCACTCTGTTCTACGTCCCACTGATTGAAAAAGAGTGGTTAGATCTCAGGACGGCTTTTTTCTGGATCACTCATCGCAAGCTTCAGTACCAGCAGATTGCGATTTAGTTTCTATGACCGTTGAATCATGATATGCATAGGGAAGTCGAAAATATGAACCAAAAATTGGTCCACTTCTTTTCCATTCAAAGTTTTAGGAATTTCGCAGAAGCCAAAGAAATTAAGTTCACCATAGTAGTGGTTCATGTTTCGTTAGGGTTTCATTGCGCTCGCTTAAACAGAAACGGCACATACCATAGAAGTCAAAAACATGGGCACATCCCAATTGAATGCATCTTATTTTTTTATCTCTACCTGGATTCGAGGCCTTCAGGTCACTGAACAACTTACTCACGGGAATGTGGACCTTCTTCCCGAGATTCATGCATTGTCGTCGGGCCTAAAGTCGGTCGTTTCATGGGAAGCAGCTCAGGTACAGGCAGCCACATCTACAACTCACTTTGATCGACTAAGTCGTGTTTTCAGGGCATAGAGCAATGCCGCTTAGCTTGTGGTGGCCATGGATATTCACTTGCCTCAGCATTCCCAGAAATCTACGCCTACTCAGTAGGTGGCTGCACCTATGAAGGCGAAAATATCGTCATGTTATTGCAAGTCGCCAGGTAGGGATTTTTTCGAGGTATCGTTTATTATGAACAGGTTTTTTACTATGTGGGTAATATTTCCCTATAACATGACTCAGTTGACAGCGGCGTTCATTATCCCTCGTTTTCTTTCAGATTCCTGATGAAAGCTGCGAAAGAAGTTCGGAGTGGAAACGCAAAATTAGCGGCAATTTGCGGTTATTTGGCTAAACCTGACCTAGCACACTCGAAGTTCGCAGCCTGGCAAACATATACAGATGCAGATATTGTGCAAGACTTCGAACATGTGGCTAGGAGACAGGTGAGTCTAACACACACTCAAAGATGGTAACCCTCAGAATGCGAGAAACGTCTGGTCAGGCCTGGTTATCATATCTTTTTACATGTGTATGATGGTTAATTGTGTCTAAGTTTATGCAGCTACGTGTGTGTCGGTATACGTACTTAACAAAAGGTCGTTACTCCTGAACCCAAAGACTAGAATTCCCCACTTTCGAAAGGATAGAGAATGGAAACACTGATGACAGGTGGCAGAACTAAATTCCACGTACAGGAGCGGAGCGTACTCAAAATCATCAGTATCCATCCGTGTAGTGATACGCAGTCAAGTTGGAGTATGTAAGGAGATGGATTCTGCTCATGGTAGGCATAATTGAACGAAAGTCGAGAGATATCTCTTCGACTGCAAGCATCTAATTCGGTTTGTCAGGCTTCTGTGAGAATCGGTTTTGCGGCCGAGTGCGTGTGGACGAGGACACCCTCATCGTCGGCACTTCTGCTACAGCTTATTCCAAGTAACAGCTCTTCTGCAGCCCAAGAGCAGCATGTGTTGGCAATGTCTTCTCACCTCAAGTTGTACTTGATCATCTAGGTTTGAGTTTCTTATGCGAAAATTCGTAGATTGGGAGCATAGATCGTCATCTTCGTTCTTCTTCATTTGGGTACCATGTTAACGACCCTGATGTTTCAGCAGCGTTTCTCCAGAAGTATTACCCAACTGCCATAATGAGGACTTTCAGGTTCAGGAAAATGAGACCCACGTTTACTACTGTCGCATGCATGCATGTGTATCCAAAAATACCTTGCCAGGCTACAAAGCGGAAAAGAGGCGTGCATCACTCTGCAGAGAGTTCTGGTAGCAATGCTTCCCAGATCACTTGGCCTATCTGGTCACAGAAATGTACGATAGGTTCAAAGCAGTCATACATAATCATCCAAGCCTAACTAAAGCAATAGACGTCACGGTTTCAGTACACCACCAGATATCATCATAGAACTTCTGAAAGATGGACACCTGAAGAAGATCAAGTTCCTAATTGCTGAAGGGTGCGCGGAGTCATTTCTGACTGCCTTGGGGGGGNGGGAGTCATCAGAGAGCGTATTTTCTTCGATGTTTAGAAAGTAAGCGACCGACGATGCTCCAGGACCCCAAAAAGCGATATGCAGAACAGTGGTGGGACCCAAAACGCTCTATGGTACAGACTGCTAGCCTGTAAGCAGCGAACTATGGAAAACAACTTCACTATGCTGAAATGGGTATGCTCAGATGAGCCTGCAGCTGGACGCAAGTGTAATGGGTCTTAAATGAGAACATCAAGAGGGTCAAGCAACAGCTGAAGATGAAAGAGCAATGACTGATTGTATAGACGTGTGGTGAAAGGACACAGAGATACCCGATAAGAGGAGCAATGGAGTTTGAAGCTCAGGTAAAACGACTCTGAGATAGAAAATCTAACAAAAAACTCATTTCCTGATTTTCTCTTCAGCGTTGATCCCCTTAAGTCCTTGGTCCACTGTTCAAACGCGTATCTGTGCCTTCCCGACCATGAGTCACTTTGAAGAGAAGATAGAGAAACGTGATCAAGATTGATCTTTTGAAAACCACCGTCATGACAGAAGGTGATAGAAGAGTGTGGGGACAACGCACTGGAATAGTCGACCGTGGGGTGGAGGGGATAAACGCTGGAAGGAAAAGGGAGAAGATGAGCTGGATGTGCTATCTCACAGTGGACGAGGGCTCTTCTATTGCTGGTAGACTCCAGACCACCTCCCAAACGTCACATTCTCTCGAATGCAACGAATGGATGCTGGGAGACAGAATCTGCTCAGAGCAGCAGACAACAAAGGTCCATTAAGGTCCATTCGCAGTGCATTGCTTCATCTCTTGGCAAGCAGCCGTTTCCTCAGATTAGCACTCATTCACTTTCACATTTGTAGTCGCGCTACGTGGCTTCGCCGTCGAAAAGGGAGAAGATGAGCTGGATGTGCTATCTCACAGTTGACGAGGGCTCTTCTATTGCTGGTAGACTCCAGACCACCTCCCAAACGTCACATTCTCTCGAATGCAACGAATAGATGCTGGGAGACAGAATCTGCTCAGAGCAGCACACAACAAAGGTCCATTAAGGTCTATTCGCAGTGCATTGCTTCATCTCTTGGCAAGCAGCCACTTCCTCAGATGAGCACTCATTCACTTTCACATTTGTAGTCGCGCTACGTGGCTTCGCCGTCAATCGGTGTAATGGTACGATTTTGCAATGTGAGCCTGAAGCATATTAGTACTCAAGGTCACTAAAATTTAGATGTTCCTACGATTTCGCATAGAACTGAGTGGCGCACCCAAAATAAATTGGTTGGGCGTCTCCACCTTGCTACGGTATGCATATTTGACTTTGTATCTGTTACATTAATCGAATCGTTTCTCAGATCTTCCGTGCCTATGATGTCCTGATGCGGCATCAGCGTGAAACGTCCACTGAGGAGGCATGGAATCGTGCTTCGATCGAACTTTGCAAAGCGTCTCGAGTATGTTCGTGTAAATGTACTATTTACATTTCTCACATTCGTTGTCTACTTCTAGATGCACGTTCGTCTTTATCTTGTACGCACGTTCCTAGAAAAAGTTGCCACGGCTCCAGATGCTTCTCTACGATCTCCACTTACCGACCTCACACGTCTTTACGCTTTCGACTTGATTACCTCTAGTCAAGGAGAATTCTTGAAAGTGAGTTTTTTCTTCCTGTTCGCATCCACTTCAACAAACTTAGTTGCTATGAATGGTTCTGTCATTATATCGACGTTTCATTATATCGACGTTCGGAAGTTCCTCAATACTGGTAGCAGCAGTAGGACAGCAGGGACCACAACACGCAAAGACCATTGGTGCCCGCAGTATCTGTAGATACGATGAGATAAATATTTTTACCTCTTTTACCGATCACGTGTTACCTAGCAATATTTTGTATTTTCAAAAATAAACTTCTAAACAGGTAAACACAGCTCATCAATGGAGCAGTTTTATTCTTCTTGTGGTCGATTTCACCCTTTCATAATAGATCGTAGTTATGCAAAAAACGGAGCATTATTAGAGAAGAGCTACATCTTTTTGTCTACTTTCCCCAAGCTAGATATTAACCTCAGAAGAAGGTGGTTCGTTTAATGTGCCATCTTTCACTTTATTTTGACTATTTGTCATTTTGACTTTTCTAATTGTTTAACAAGTTCCACTAACTTTGGTGTGACTCACTTCACCCATTTTGATTGCCAAGAAAAATGATTGCGGATGCTATTTTAGTTGCTAAAAACAGATTCATTTGGTTACGTACTAATGGTAACGCGTACCGTTCAGAGTTTTCAGTACATTCATGGTAATATCAATGATGATTCGACAAGTACAGCATAGCAAATCAAAATAAAACAGTCTCGTTACAAGCCGGTTACAAAATTGAGAGAAAAGCAAAACTGCCTTTGTTCCTGATTCATGTGGTTGATATCCACTCTGAATGTATTAGCATTGCTATTACCCAACTCTGGTCGCATGATCAGATCGCAGAATACCCATTCACTTGCTATACCTCAATCTGGTCTGAATCTGAAGCATTCCCACAGCATTGATATGAAGAGATTAATTGAAATTCAAGTATGTAAGCCATCGGACTTGTGAACAAAAAAGATTTGAAGACTAATCTTATTTCTAAGGCGTGCTGCTCTTATTGCCTATGGCAGCGAACACTCTACTGTCGGTCATTCTTTTACTGAATTTATGAATTGGTCTTATAGGGCGGTTTCATGTCTGACAGTCAGGCTGATGGAATTCGAGATGGCATTTATCGATGTCTAGAAAGACTTCGACCAAATGCCGTTTCCTTAGTCGACAGCTGGGACTTTGACGATGCGGAGCTCCATTCGGTATGTCAGATCTGTTCACAGTATATATACTAGTCGTTACTTCATCGGGGCACCTCTCTCTCGCTGTTCATATTTCCAGGTGCTCGGACGTCGCGATGGTAATGTCTATCCTGCGCTCCTGGAATGGGCTCAGAAGAGTCAATTGAACAAGACTGAGGTGAGGCTCTTACTCATGTGAGTCTTTCATGAGCAATCTAAAGTTGACTTACAGGTGCTGCCAACGTTTGAGAAGTACCTTGGACCAATGATGAAAGAAGGGCGATCTAAATTATAGTTTTCTCCTTTGGAATGAGTTGAACTTCCTTATTTTGCTACCCTGCTAATTGATCGTGAACTATGTACTTACCTCTTATCAAGGAAAACGCGAATCCGGTTCTCCTCATTAATGCTGCATTTCGGTGGTAAAAAAAACACAACTGATCATTGAATACTTCATGAACTGTTGAAGAATTAGTTGTATTCATAAATAAAACGGGTGGAAACTGATACTGTTTGAACGAATCACCATCAACTCATTGAAGAAGGAATCCGTTGTTCTTTGAAGAATCGAAAGGGCTCACCGCTCCGCAGTTCTGCTACCGAAAGAGGGTGTAAAGAAATGGGTGTATCTCTGAGAGATTAATAATGATTGTTAGGGCCAGGTTGGTGATGGTGGTGCCGTCCCTGACGACTTCATCCGTTGCTGCAATATCACGGAAAGAAGATGTCGTAGTGGCAGATACTCGCAGGCACGTCCACGCCTTGGATGCTTTTAGAAGCGGCTGCTTATTTTAACAAAGCACTAGGAATGATTGGTGCTCGTTTTGCGCCTACCTCGTGGCACCTAGACACAATTTGATTGTCTAAAATCCCAAACAAAAAAACTTTCGGGATAGGGTTCAATAGGAGAAGTGAGATAGTGTCGTTTTTTCCTTATGTGCTTAATCTAGTCACCGAATCAAAAACGTGAGTCAACACCGATAAATTGAATGGCAAGTATAACAACAACATAAACAACAATTGTATCATCAGTAACAACAAGGAAACAGTAGCAAAGAACGACCAAAAAAAGTGGTACTGAATTGACGAGATGTCGCAAAGTCGCTGTCGGAGAAGTGGGTTTCAGTATGGCGCAACATACCTCGAGTTGAAAGAGATTTTTGAGTAGAAAGTTCCAAAAAATGTAGCGATGCTAGGAACCGAGTGAAGTCATTGTAAGGAAGTAGTAGCGACAACATGCGTGGCTGTTTAAATAGAACGAATTCTTCACTAGTGAGAGTCACACTCAACGTTAATCAACGAAAAAATCCCGGAGCGAAACCTCAATGGAGTGGCAACCATACAACATTGGGATAGTCCACCTCTCTCTTCAGCATCCGTGTGAGAAGCGTTTCGATCACATGAGGAATTATGAGCCTGCAGTCTTGGTAGTTTGTTCTTGAAGTTTGACTGTAAGGAGCAATGCTATTGCGCTAGTTCATATATTCAACCCGCCATGTGTATCTAAGGTTCACAGGTCGTGTGCTCCACAGTTCAGCTGAGAGATGGTGGGGTGGATGTGTGTGTAGGCTCTTTCTCTCCTTACAGCAACCATTCATTGGACGTTGAATCAGTGCACGGGTGTTTGAGAAGATTGAGTCAGTCACTCTAGCAACCCCTCCAGCAACCGATGCGTGGAAATTGCCGATGCTACCTCTGAAATACTAAAGAACATCGAGGGAGTAGTGAAGGAGACAAAGACCATCTGGCCTCACGCTTACCTTTTCGACACCACTGTCCTTCCTGCTTTGATGTACGCCTCGGTGACTTGGACTCTTCAGAAGCTAACGAACATGCTGTCAAATTCACTCAACGTGCTCTGGAGAGGGTGACGCTGGGGTTTTCTTACACACGAAGGTGCAGAAAGGAGTCCAGAGTTTGAGCGCCGTCAACGAACAGATCAGGGACGCCGTTGCTTACGCCAAGAAGTTGAAATTTCTGCGACGCTCCTAAAACAAGCGTTTGAGAAAAGTCGTCCTTAGAAATCTAAATTTTTTTCGAACCTGACCTGATATTGCGGTATGACGAATGACAAAATCAGTGATTAAATCATATAGCAAAGCTAGTGTTTTCAGCATCAACGTCATCAGATTTTCACATGGTGATATTAATATTTCCAAGACAGTTAATGTTAAATATATAGAGATACAAGGAATGCCAATGAACGTTTTTATGAGTCGAAATGAACTTATATAATACAACTTTTGACAAAGAGATTAGTTCTTCAAGCGGAACAAGCAAAAATAAGGAATTACTGAGTCAGCACCATACAAGGAGAACAGATTTTGGTTAGCAATTTGCTATGACATCATTTCAATCGTGCATCAAGGTTTTTGACCTTATGGATCCGTTTTTTACCTATTCCAATAGCTACATAACTTATCCGACCGCCAGTAATTTACAAATCACGAAAAATGGTTCTTATCAATGGAGATAATACGGGTCTGGATAGCGAATTTTTGTAGTGGTTTAAATGCCAATCCAAAATGCAAGTATGCCTCATTTAACCATACTCGTCAGTGTAGATAGGCAAGTTCCTCAATTACTTATATTTGTAAGTAGAAAATGTATTAGGGTAGATTGATAAAGTGGAAAACCAAATCTCTAATCCCTAGCTGTAAATTAGCTTAAGCTCGTCAATGAAGCGTTCCAATTTTTCAAGGAAGGGGTCAAGGTGGGCCCAAAAAAAGTAACTGTAGCAGTACTCCGGGTTGACTGAAGTTTATACAATACAGTGAGGAAAAATTGAGCTCACTCGGTCACTGTTTCATTATGACCTCATGCATCAGGGTTTTTATATTCATAATACATCACGTCTTTTATTTATTCGAAAGTCATCCGTGGCAACCAGCAATAATCTGAGTTGTAGAGAGTATTGAGGGTGAAACGGTTGTCCTGTGGTCGGGGTAGCATGCCTTCTTACCTTCTTTCGTATAATCGCCACGCAGGACTTGCACCTCAAACTTGGGTAATTAAACCTTTATCATTGATACATAAGAAAAACCCATAAGTGAGAATCGTGTACCGGCACCATTATGAGATTATCGGCAACACCGTAATAAGTGACAACATGATGGCGATACAAGATGAGTTAAAGAAAAAACCTAACAACCCTAGTTAACATAACAAAATAACAATAGTGGCACTTCTACATCAAATGAACAACGATAGCAGCATCACTACTAACTAACATGGCAACATCAACGGCCTACAATAAACGAGTACAACAAGTGAACTTAGGGCTACAATAGAAAGTCTCGCTAAGTCGCAAAGAAAGAGAAACCTAATGAATAATCGCTTTATCACACCCCCCCCCCCCCNTTGTGAAGTCCCCAAATTTTTTCAGTGATACGGTAATAAGGAACCTCTTATATTGGGTCGCGCCCTTTCGTGACTGGGGCCTTTGATCATTAGGTCGCGGTTTTTCTGCGACAGAGGGAGGATCTCTGTGACGTGTAGGGATCTCATGACGTTGTCACTTGGTTAACGTGTTTCATGTTGTATTATTCCGTTTTTCCGTATCGACCGTTTATCCCGTAGTGTCGCGTCTATGCCACGTGAAAAGTAGAGACAAAGCATGTAGAAACACTAAGGGAAGTAGAGGCAAGGCATGTAGGGACAAGGCATGTAGATGTGTTTAGCCCGTATTGAAGTGTCTATGCCACGTGGCATGCAGAGACAGGATTCATATATAAGGGTGCTTCGGCGTCATTGTTGTTTTGTGGGGACTGTTCGGCGAAACTCTGCGTTTTGTGCGTTTTGTTATTTTCTTCTGTTATTTTTCTTATCTGATGGTGGTATAAAAATCTATCCAGCAATGTAAGACAAACGTTTGTAGGACTCGTCATGCAGGTTGCACACGCAGCTTACAAGCCCAGCCGACTCGGACGCGAACTTTTCCCACACGCACGAGTACTTGGATACCACCGGATACGCCTGGCGGTGGACAGAAAGTATAAGACGACTCAAGATCATCCTCTGACTTCAGTTGCGTACGGTCACGTACCGGCTTTTGATACGCGAGTTATTCTCTAGTCGCCTCTGGTGTTGTTCCACATAGCCGCGCTACCATTCGGCAAAAGGCCCTTTCGAGGGTGGAAATTGTCACTGAAGAAGACTGGCAGGAGAAGACAATTCATGCACCCAATTGGCAAATGCCCGGAATGTTCCTCTGATTTTCAGATTTTTTAAGTAGCTAATTTCAGTCAAAAAAGTAGAAGAGTCTCGAAGAAAACCAAATGTAATAGAAGAGTCTCGAAAAAAACCAAATGCACTCGAACAAAGAAAATCACTAAAAACAAGAAGGGGTGAGAGTTCAATCCACTAGCCTGATTCGATTGAGCTTCTTTTTCTTTTCTCAAAACTTACTCCCCAGAAATCAGTGAATGGATTTTATTTCAAAAGGACCGAGAGAGTGAAAAAAAACCAAAAAGTCCAGTAAGAAGATGTTACCAATCTTCCTTTTTCTCTCCTCAAGTATATAATATAATATACATAGATAATATATATATGCAATTTGTTGTGTAGTATAGTTAGTTTCCCATGCTTCAGAAAAAAAACTCGAAAAACAAAAAGTGCTACCAGAAAATCAACAGCAAGGAAAGCGAAGAAGTGCCGGAATACTAGGAAGTTCAAAAAACAGAGGTACTTTGTTCGATTTGCTGAGTAGGGTATCCGCATTATTCAATTACCAGTATTTGATATGCCATAATTCAGGAAGAATAAACAAAAAGAGATACAAGCTGCTATGTATCAAAGGAATGGCGATAAATACCTGGTCTTTTATTGTCCACTTTTACCTTCGATGTTTCTACCTAACTTTATCAATGCCACCGAAGGACACGCCTTTTGCTGCAAACCAAAAACGAGATTCGGGAAGATTTGGCAAGAATTAAGCCCTGCCAGTGTGAATCGTTTCGACCGACTGAGACGAAGTAGCTCACAATGATGAATTTCCTGCAGAATGTATAGTGCGAAGAGACTACTTCGGTGTGTAATACTTTCACAGGAAGAAGGCAGTGTTTGAGCCTCATTCTCACCTCTTTCCTATCACCTGGGCTTCTCGGATACAAATGCGATGTTCTGTCCAGATAAGCAGAGTTGCCTTACCAATGATGCATTCCTCACTGGTCTCGTGGTGCAGTTCCACCGTCCACCAATCAACAAGGATGCACAATTCTGCCTATTCTGATTCCGATTTATTCAATTCGGATTTTTGCAGGTATGACTCGAGACTCAACGTGAGCTTTTTCAAGT